ATATATATAAATATAGAGAGAGAGAAAGAGAGGGGGACAGCAAAAATGTGCACACACTTCAGGAAAAGAAAAATAATAAATGTCTTGAAGCTAATGGCCACCAGTTTGAGCACCTCTTGTAATTATAAAAGCCAAAAGTAACTTATGTTAATCTCAGGATTGCAATAAATTTAGTATGAAAATATTTATACAAGTTTTTCTTTTTCCTGAATTATGTGTACATTTTTTGTCAGACTACTTAGGTAATATTTATCCTCTTTTTCCCCCTCTTTTTTTGCAGGGGGAGTGTACTGCAGTTTGAGGACTGGAAAAGTGAGCCCTGAGAATTTGTGGTTTATACACAGGTTTTTAGTAGAATGTTGCCTCCCCATGAATAATTTTCAGCTTTGTATGTCCATTGTAAGTACTTACTCCTTATTCATTTACTTTAAGTGATTTGGACTCTGTCCCTGTGTTTTGCTGAAAGAATTATTTCTGGTTATAACAGAATCAATAGATTCAATCATACAGCAATTCTATATGATATTCCTTACAATTACACTTCCCCCCTTTTGTCTATCCTTTATGCACACTATGACTGTTTATTATTTGTGATTGTTCTGCAGTGAGGTAGATGAAATGGAGGGAAGAGAATGCAAGGTGTTTGGATTAGGAGTGTAAGACACTTAGGGGGCGGGTTGTAGGGAATAGGATAGTGACAGATGAGAATAAAAGTTTGATGTGTGGTCTGATAGTATTGGAATACTTTTAGTTGAACTTAAGAGTTAGTATTGAGAGTTTTTAAAGGATGTTTGTGGGTGCGATTGTGAGATATGGGAGGAAGGAGGTTTACTTTGTGATTGAGAGGAGCTAATTGGTTGTCAGAACCTGCTGATAGAGAGGATATTTGGCAAGGTAAGATATGGAGGAGCCAGAGGAATAGGCTGGGAAGAATCAAGGGTTAATACTAGAGAAGTTTGGACTGACTGGGAAGGTAAATATGGGAAATTAAAAACATGGGAGGACAAGTTTATGTATTTGGAAAAAGAATAGAAAATATGCTAATAGTATTGCTTTGCAGGTTTGATGTGAAGAAGGTAGATAGGGAGCTGAGATGAGGGAGAGAACATAGACATCTATTAAATCAGAGCTAATGGGAGAAAAAAATACACAAAAGTAACACCCTAATAAACACACAAAAAACCCCAAAAGTACATAATGTAAACCCACGCTACTACATAAATCAAGAAACTAACAAAAACTCAAATCTATAAGATACCCAGTGGGAGCACAGATTGAATATTCCAATGAGACAGTGCATATGTGATTCTCATGTAGCTTCTTTGCCAGAGAGTCTGAGTGTGCACACCCCCAAAACTCCTCTGAATTTCCTTCTGTAATACTGAGAATAACTCACACTCAGCGCTTCTTTTTACCCTGTTGCAGGAATTCTTGCAGATTCTGATCCAGTTGGGTTCTTGTGTCAGGAACTCTTGTTGTCCCTCTCCCTGGGTGTGATGGTGAAATTGGCAGACTGATTCACTGGCACGAAATTGTCTCCTGAGTCAGGAGTATTCCTGTGTGATCAAATCAGCTATGCTAGTAAAAGGCTAATCATTTACAGTGGTATCAGGACAAGTCACGAGACCACTTTTGAATCGTTCTTTAGTCTAGAGAAGAAATCCACAGTTATAGTGTAAGCATCAAGAAAACCCATTATTGACCTACACCCAGTACACACTAAATGTGGTAACTATCTCCTTTTATGCTTAAAAAAATAAAATTCAACAGTAATTTTATAGTATCAGTTATCTAAAGCCCAGAGGGTTGGGGACCAGGTAATGTCAGTGGGGGAAAAAGAAAAGGAAAAAGAAGTACTTAAAAAATTTTTTTCTGCTATGTGTTATGAGAAGGAAGAAATAAGAGGGAGGGGCAAAGGATCCTAGTGGTAGTAGAGGGTGTGTTATCTGTTTAGATGAGATAACAGGGAAAGCTGAATATGAAAATTGAGGATGAGAAAGGATTCCATGGCTAATACAAATATTAGAGAAAAAGTTAAAGAGAGACAGATGAAGATGGGGGAGAAGAATGAAAAGAAAAATAGAGGAAGGACAAGAAACAGCAGAAGTCAGGTGAAAAGACATAGATAAAAGTAGAAGGAATAAAAAGGGAGAAGGGAGAATTCCCTTACCCTTTATAAATTATTGGAAGAAAAGGGCAAAAGGAAGAGAAACATACATATGCACTCTTAAAGAACAAAAGGGACAAATAATGAAGTAAAAGTGGAAAGAGGAAAACAGCAAAAATAAAAGAACAATAAAAAAGAAAGTTTCCTATTGATTTGGACACATGGCTTTTTCCCACAACCTAAGAATAAAGAACAGATCTCAAGCCAAAGTGACTCTGCTCACTTTGGAAGTGTAAGGTGGCATTCGACTCCCAGTAGAACGGTGCTGCATGCAGATATCTGCATATAATGGGGACAGGGTGCCAATGTTACCTTTCATTCCTCAGGCTGAACCTGGCCTCCAACTGCATGAGCTGCATCTGTGTTCAACAGTTTCCAGTCCCCCAGCAGGAGTCCCTCTGTCCTGCTCTCCAAACCACCAGCTGTCTCTTATGTCTGTTCTTCCCTCATCCACCCTGGGAACTGGACAGTACAGAGAGTGGCTTGGAACCAAGGGGCTGCTCTGAGACCCAAGTTTGAATGCTGAGCCCTTCCCTACAATTTCATCCCCACCATCTCTTATTCTCTAATTGTGGCAGCAGGTGCTGGACTGAGATCACTCACCAACTGTTCACTGTGGAAGGCCACTCTGGGAGCAGTATCTCGTTTTCCTTGCAGGTTCCAACTGGAGCTGATTCTCTCAGTCCCCATGAGGTTCTCTTTTCTTCGTGGAATGTTCTACAGTTGTCTCTGAATAGTGTTGTTTGAGTTGGAAACTTCAAAGCAGAATTCAGACATGGTCACCACATTTTGTTTGGTTAATTCATCTCTTATGTCTCTTTCTTTTTATGATAGATTCTTCTCTCTGTGTTTCTTGTTAATGTTCTCTTAATCTCCCTGACATGGGTCCTCCTCTTTTCAGTCATATTGGAACTTCTAGATCATTTCTTCTCTGTAGATCTTTTTTTCAAGATTGTTTTTTATAGACAGAGCTTAATATGGACCATCGCATATAAAACAGATGCTATTTTTTTGCCTTTTTCTCCATGCCAAAAATTCTATGAAGTACATACTTTTGAAGGATTAGGACCATGAAATATGCCCAAGTAGTTTTTAACACTCTAGTTAATTTAGCTTATTTAAACAATTTGAATTCCCTGACACCCTTTGAAAACTCAAAGGAAAAAAATTTTGTTATGATAATATAACACTAACTTATCTTTTGATAGGGGTGTTAAGAGCAAACAGTCTGATGTACTCAGGGTTACATAGCATGCCCTGATTTTTGTTGACTGCTGACCTCTAAGACTTGTTTCATTTGAGCCTACTTAATATCAAGTCACCTAATGGAAGCACATTTTTTCACCAAATCATTTTGTACTAATTCAGTACAATTTTGCCCATTTAATATCAATTGACACTAAACGATTTCTCCTGCAATGTCAATTGAAAATCACTGATTTCCTGCTAATACAGCACTTAGTGTCAATTTCTTTGTGGAGCAAAAGCATTTTTTCAATTAAATATGCCATATAATTTTTTGGTTTTAGTTGTTTGCATGGACTGTTTGTTCATAGTTTTTTGAAACAAAGACATCAGGAGAAAAATAAGACTTTTCTCCTTGCATTAAGTAATTTAATCCTAGTGATTTTATTTTATGTATATAAGAAGGTGAACATCTTATTGGAAAAATTTGAAATATATCAAGAATGTGATAGTAAAATGGTTAGTGGTAAATAGGATTGTGTAGATTTCTACATTGTATATACTAAGAGCTATATGTACAAAATTTTGGACAAATATTCCTTATTAATAGTTCCAGCTTAGCTCAAAAATACCTATGATAGTCTATTTATTATCAAAGACTTTTTGGGGGTAGAGGAATATACTCACTTAAATATCCATGTATAATCTGACTAGAAAAGTGTGACACTATTACCTCGACTATTCCATTGAAAACCCTTGTAGATTAGCACAGACAGAAGGGACACAGAAAAAACTGTTCTTCTGATTAGATAATAATCAGGCTTATTTGGCAAATGCAAAAATTGCTGTAATAGCTCATATAAAATGTACCATTCTGGATGGTGGTGGGGACAGGAGGAAATGAGAATTGATTCTTCCTCTCCTAGAGATTGAAAAGTAGCATGTATATAAAAAAATTAATCAAGGCTATATGTAAAATTTGTATATTTTAATTATTTATTAAAGTACTAAGCATTTAACCCAAATACACTGTAAGTGACCTATTAAAAAGGCATTTCTTCATTATAAAAGAGCTCAACATCTGGTGAGAGAAAAGTCATGTATGACAAATTGATATAAACTTTAATTGATAAATTTTAGGATAGTCTTTAAATATGTCCTTAAATAAAGTATGTGTCTTAAGATTTTTTGGGTAGATCAATATATATTCAAGGTACTCTAGGGTTGCTCAGGATATTTTTCTCTTTGCTGAGACAAAATACTCAATGCTCAAAGTTAAAGGAGGTAAGGTTTATTTAGCTCACAGTTTGTAGACCTTTCAGTTCATAATTGGCTGGCTCCAAGGCAGGGTGGCACAGCAGATAGGCATCCACAGGAGAAATAGTTTGTGGGGGGCAGAAGGTAGCAAAGCAGCAAGGAACAACTGCAGCTCTTTCCATCCCTCCAGGCTCTTTCTATCCTCCAGAAAGATAGCTCTTTCTATCTTATCTAGGCTACTTACAGCAGGTAGCACTCACACCTTTAATCCTAACACCCTTCCTTTGCACATCAATCAATCCCAGCATCATACTCTAGATCCAATCACCTCTAAAAAAGCCCCACTTATGACTGCTTGAGGCTTTGGAGGGACATCTTGACACAAGCCAAAACCTTCATTGAGCTGTGCCTTGAAAGAAGGTTCTGGTGTGTTTTGGAAACAAGGACAGAATGAAATTTCATTTAAGTTGCTTTCTTTTTTTTTCTTTCTGTCTCTTTCAGCTTTCTTGTGCTGTTTTACCACTTGTACTGTTTTACTTCTTGTTGATATTAGCTCCATTTTGAATCATCTTAATTTGAAGGGATTTCAGAAATAATTCAAAATAATATTTTTTGGATGTGTACTACTTGAAAGATATAGTTCCAGGAAAAAGAGATGCAAAGAGAGGTAAAATATTGCTGTTCCTCTTGAGAAACTTTAATCATGGGGTGGAATAATTATATTTATATATATATATATATATGTAATATTCTATAATACAAGTTTAAAAGTGTGCAACAGTATATGGTG